AACTAGTTTACATTTTTTTGTAGCTTGTACTGCAACTATACTAAAAGTGAACTGATAGGTATACTGGTAGTTTACTAATTAAATACTTGTAGTAGCATTTTTAGTACACTTTGAAGTATAGTCTTAGTAAACTACTAGTTTAGTAGTTTTATACTGCAAGTATACTCGTAAGTTTTCTTTAAGTGAACTTTATTTCCAAGAAAAAAAACATCGTCTTATATTCGGGTCAATACGGTATAAGTCAAGTATACTTAAATGTCATTTTAAGTATATTTCTGAGAAGTACATAAAAAGTAGACTAAAAGTATACTTTCCTATTTTTTAGTTTAAAAGAAGTATACTAATAGCACACTTGAATAAACTTCTTTTTCGTAAGGGGAACCCTGATCTGTGACACTCTTAGCCAATCACTCCAGCTCCAATAGCTTGAATAGCTGGAATTAGTGTTCCTCGTCTTTAATAGCAATTTTAATAGCACATCCCTGCCCATCCAGTCAGCTTCTCTTGTCTCAAATCCACCTGCTTAATGAAGTACCCTGAAGTACTTTGGGGGCACCCACTCTTACAATAGAGCACCGGTCAATGTCCAAATCCTGTACTTGAGAATGGAGAGCAGCAAGAACTGAGAAGTGTGCGCGTCTGCTTAAACCCTGACATGGCGCTAAGCACTTCTCCACATAAAACACTGTATTTATAAATATGAACGTTGGATTGGATTGTAGTGCATGCACACTATAAGATCACATTTGTGCATTTTATAAATGAGGCCCAATATCATTGTTTGCAAGTTTGTTTGTTTTTTTAAGTTTAAATGAATGAATGTTTATGTTTTTGAAAATGTTTGGTTACATTTTAATCTGTTATTCATTGATACCTGTGCATGTGTGCAATTAAACTTGCATTATTTGTATTAAAGTTGTATTATTCTCGGTCAGTGCAAGTGACATCTCTTAACATAGCTATAGAAAAAAAACAAAAAACAAACACACCAACATCATCAGTTGCTGTTTTCTGACTGGTTCTTCATGAGAAGCAACAGTCACACATTACACTTTTTGTCAGAGACAACAAAATAAATGCTACAGCTTATTTCCTTATGTTTACTTTCATTTATTTTTACGCTTTTAACTAAAGTAACTTGCAAACTAGGAATACAACAAAGCAATTCATCTTAAGGAGGCAATAACACTAGACTGTTTTAAATTGTATCCCGCTGTCCAGGCAGGGTTAGAAAGATCATGTTGCGAGTTCAGCCAGAAGAGCATTGCAGTAATCCAGTCTAGAAACGAGCAGGGCCTGGAGGAGTTGTGCGGTCTGCTCGCTCAGGAAGGGCCTGATCTCAATTACCTGATCAAACTTGCATAACTGTGTTGTCCGCTGGTCAGCATAGATTAGCCAGTGGTTTCTGGATGATGTGGTTGGGATTATTGTTGATGATTCGAGCTGGATGGGTGAATTTAGCTGTACACTTAGACTGTGGAATCATACAGTGTGGAACAAGCTTTACTGTCATATCAACTAATGATTTTTTTTTTTTTTATCACGTAATGTAAAATAATGTAAACTATATAATATAAGGGTCATTCCACGAAATCGGTGCCTTTTGCGTCCCTAAGAAATAATCAAACATAGAATTAATATAAGAAAAATATATATTTTTTAATTATTAAAAAACATAACAATAGTACGTATTATTTCATCAATATTACATCCAATTAAAGTCAATTAAATATTATTTTAAATAATTTAAATAGCATTTATACTGATAAGGTAAGGTTTTTGGCCTGTCCCTCACAATGATTTTTCTTGTTCAGCA